TGCTAGCCAAAAGTGTGATGGGGAGATAGGGCAGAATGCTATTTGTCTCCCGGTATCTGTTATCTGTATCTTCCATATTTTGGGCTGGACACATGGCTACCCACAAGAAAGTTTACATTTCCTAGTCTCCCTTATAAGTAGGTGTGGCCATATAATTAAATTCTGGCCAGTAGGTAAGCAGAACCATCTGAGTAACTTCTGAGAAATGTCTTTAAAGTGGTGATACTATATTTATCATCCAAACTGGGACACTTGAGAGTAAAAGAGAATACTAAGAAAATGAAATTTTTATAATTTTTGAAACATGTACTTATTAGCAATTGACTTTATTATGTTGGTGGACTTGTTAACAAGTCCTACTCAAAAGCTATTTTCAAAACTGAAATTTAAGAAGAAAGAAAAATAACATATATCCGTGTACATTAAAACAAAAAAATAATTTTATATTGATTATCTGAATATTAAAAAAATAGCCAGTAGAATAATTATTCTTGGTATATATTTACATACTTTAACTCATTTCTTAGCATATCTGTCCCTAATATTGTGTAACTGGCATTTTTCTAAAGAATGTGCTTTTATTTTATTTTTTGAAAAGATTTTAAGTAATCTCTACACCCAACATGGGGCTTCAACCTACAATCCAGAGATCAAGAGTCACACACTCTACCAACTGAGCCAGCCAGGCGCCCCTCAAGAATGTGCTTTTAAAAATATGGCATTTGGGGGTGCCTAGGTGGCTCAGTTGGTTGAGCATTTGCCTTTGGTTCGGTCCTGGGATCGAGCTCTGTGTCGGGCTCCCTGCTTGTGGGGTGCCTGTTTCTCCCTCTCCTCCCCTCTTGTGCTCTCTCTCTCAAATGAATGGATAAAATCTTAAAAAAAAAAAAAAAAAAATATATATATATATATATATATATACACACACACACATATACATATATATGGCATTTAAGAATTATATATATATAATATATATATTACAGCATTTAAGAACTAAACTGCCAGCAATATTCTTCACAGTTGCATTTTATGACTAATTTGAAATTATTGATACCTTCAATTGATTCTTATTGGTAGACCATATTTTTAATTGAGGAAATGCTCATTCTACAGATTCTGAGTTACCTGATAAGCTCTGAGCAAATCTGCTAAATGGAAAAGAAACTCAATTCTAATTTTTTAAATATTGTAAAGTATAACTATTCCAGCCCAAATATTTTCAAGGTACTGTCTTTTTGCTTCCTTCAAAGTACCTTTCTTTGACAAATATTTTTATAAGACAAAGCTTGTCAAATAAATTGCCTCTATGATTCTTTTGAATGTTTTACTAAAATTAGATGCTGCAAAATCTAGGCCTTCTCAATTTCATTTTATTCGTGTGTGTATAATTTATTCAAAATAGCAGCACTACCAAAAGATTCTTCTTGCAAGGTGAGATATTCCAAATCACAATTATAGAACTGTAAATTTTAATCTTGGGAGCATTTGAGATCTTACTATTTATTTTGTTCTGTTCCTCCCTTGCTTTTGTAAGGAAAAATTCCAATGGAATTTTCATTAATTGTTTTCATTGTAATTTCCTAAAAGTTTCATTTGGTGTTCTACTTGTTGAACATTTGATTTAAGATTTTGAGTGGATTTTGAGCAAGATGTTCACCAAAATTTTATGACTCATTTATATAAAATTCAATACCATTGTTGGGTATAAAGATTTTGAGAATCTGATTAATGATAGGCAACAAAGACAGAAGGTACACACTGCAGTGCTGAACTGTATTTTTTTTTTTTTTTTAAAGATTTTATTTATTTTTTTGACAGAGAGAGACATAGCGAGAGCAGGAACACAAGCAGGGGGAGTGGGAGAGGGAGAAGCAGGTTTCCCGCAGAGCAGAGAACCCGATGTGGGACTCGATCCCAGGACCCTGGGATCATGACCTGAGCCGAAGGCAGACGCTTAATGACTGAGCCACCCAGGCGCCCTGAACTGTATTTTTGTACTCAGAGTAACACCAAAATTCTCAAAATCTTATAGCTTAAAGACTTGAACATTAAAGATACTTGAAATTTTTATAACAATACCTTCTATTTCAACTTAGAGAATGTTAACACTTGTTTGGATATGATTATGAATTATGGGTATGCCACAGTGAATTCCAACTACTCCATAGGTTTCACAATGTAGTAAGAACATTGTTTTTACCACAACACTATGTGTGCCTCACCAAAATGTGTACTTGTATTATTATTGTAAACTAATAATTTTATCTCCCATGTTGTACTTTATTTATTTAAGAGATCTCTACATCCTGCGTGGGGCTTGAACTCACGACCCCAAGATCAAGAGTCGGATGCTCTACTAACTGAGCCAGCTAGGTGCCCCTTCCATGTTGTACTTTAAACTGAATTTCCAAACTCACTCATAATGGCTTTACCTTTGATAGAATATACTTCCAAAAGCTTTACCTTGATCCCATGAACAGATGGAAAAAATAAAAACATTTTCTGAATTAACTAAAATGATTTAATTGAAGTACCAGCTGGCACTCAACTAAAACTGGAATTACTTAACTGTAAAGTTCTTCTGCCAATGGAGCCAACAAATATAAAGTTACTGCTTACTTTTTCCTATGTGCACATAAAAAACCTGTAGTCGAAAAATGAGTGAAATTAATCTAGAAAAAGAGACATCTGTCTAAAAGTTAGGCTTCACTTTTTCAGCAGATTTGTTTTCATGTGGTCAGTGATACCAGTATGGCCTCCCCAGTGGATGTAAATGTAAACATTTTGTGCAAATTACACGTTCCTTATCAACTTTCTCAGTACTTTAAAAAATGAAATATATAGTTTTTAGCTTATTGCTGCCAAAAGGGTTTATTGCAAAAACAAACTGTTGCCAAACAATAAAATAGTTACAGGTTTACATTACACAAGCAAGTGTGCTCAGTCTACTCTCTACCCTCTCTGATCAGCCTTGATTTCCCACATATACTCACCAATGCCCCACTTCCACCTTACTATGTTTCCCATTGAGCTTTGGGACTGGTACCTGGTGGCTTGGTGACTCTTGAAGGCCATGCACAGGCCACAGTACAATTGCGTGATACATCAAATGGCAGCAATTTCAAATACTTCTACACCTGATATAGGAAAAAGTTAACGATTAACCTAGACAGTCAGTGCACTTTGTTTTATCAGCAATTGCCCTGCGTTCTGTCCTTGATTGGGAGGTGTCTGAAAGGGTTGGGAAAAGAGGTAAGTTATTGCTGGTTGTCCTCCAGATTTACTATCACCTTAACATGAGAACACTCTCCATTGTACATGGGTCTCATATTCTATTAGCCTACACTAGACAAAAACTCAGGCAGAGGTTGGAAGTATAAAGTAGACGTCTATGAAACCCATCCTGGCTCATCCTAATGGAATTATTAGTAATCATTCTCTGTTAAAAAATCCAGGACAAATGTTAAGACAGATGGGATTCTGGGACAGTGGACTTACACTGAGACTATCCTTAGCAAACCAGGATGTACCCTCACTTGACCTTCAGGTGAAGGAGATCTGCCTTTCTCTGTCTTCCTCCTCCTCCTTTCCTATTGACTGGAGTGAGAACATGATGGCAGCTATTTGGGGCCAAAAATACAGTAGTAAGGTAAGGATGGCAGAGCAGTAAGACAGAAAATGCCTTTGGTTCCTGACTTTGTAGAATCAATCCTAGACTAGACTGCCTAGTCCTGGATTTTTTTTTTTTTTTTAAGATTTTATTTATTTATTTGACAGAGAGAGACACAGCGAGAGAGAGGGAACACAAGCAGGGCAAGTGGGAAAGGGAGAAGCAGGCTTCCTGCCGAGCAGGGAGCCCGATGCGGGGCTCGATCCCAGGACCCCGGGATCACGACCTGAGCCGAAGGCAGACGTTTAATGACTGAGCCACCCAGGCGCCCCATCCTGGATGTTTTTACATGAAAAAGAATAAATCCTATCTTGTTTCGGCCACTGTTATTTTATAACTAAACCTAATTCAAACTCATATATAAGGAATATCTCTACAATCTTTCTAGAAAGCAGCTTGGCAATATGTATCAAGAATGCTAAAAATGGGGCGCCTGGGTGGCTCAGTTGGTTAAACGACTGCCTTCAGCTCAGGTCATGATCCTGGAGTCCCTGCATCGAGTCCCGCATCGGGCTCCCTGCTCAGCAGGGAGTCTGCTTCTCCCTCTGACCCTCCCCCCTCTCATGCTCTCTCTCTCATTCTCTCTTTCTCAAATAAATAAATAAAATCTTTAAAAAAAAAAAGAATGCTAAAAATGATTAAACCCTTTGAGCCACTTTTAGGTATTTATCTGAACAAAATAATCTGGAATGAGGGATACTGCTGTGTAAAGATGTTTACTGCAGATTTATTTATGACAATAAAAAATAAGAAGCAACTTAAGTTCCCAAAATGAGACATTTGTTAAATAAATGATATTACATCTAAATAACTGAATATTATGCAACCATTAACAAGTTTGTGAAAAATGTTAATAACAGGGGAAAATACCCACATCATAATATGAAGTAGGAAAAAATAGGCAGGACTAAAAAAAAAACAACTTATACATGTAAGTTCTCACCTATGTTACAAAAAATTCACATATATAAAGGTAGGAGCAAGCAAACAAAAAGCTTGAAAGGAAACCCATCACAATATTAACTAACAGTGATTATCTCTGGATGGTGAGGTAATATAGGTAATATCTGTTTATAGATCTTCTCTGTGCTAAATATTTAACAGTATTCTATAATTAACAAATAATTATAACCAGAAAAAAACAAATTAATTTCAAAACTCTTTGTTAGCATTTACCGGCTTTACTGGTGTGGACACTGCCACCATCTTCATCACAATTTTACTGAGCATCTACATGTGGGGAGCTGGGGCAGCAGGGTGCACAGACCTCCACAGCTCCAGTAGAGCCACCTAAAAGTCATCCAGACATGAGTAACCTGCCCGGTATTACCTTGGTGTTCTGTAGCAGCGCTAGTCTGTTGCAGGCATTTGCTAGAAGAAAGTCTCCACTCAGGATAGCTATTTTATTTCCAAATTGCATGTCTTTCAATAGTCCATCAGAAGATTGCAATTCATTTAAATTTACTATCCCACGATGTACGAGGAGAGCAGTATGGATAAGTTCTGTGATCTCTGCCAAACTTCTTTGACTGAAACATGAAGGTAAGACTTGTCTGAGTGTCAAGAATACCACCACATCAGTAATGTCAGACTTCAGTTTCCAAAAGTAAAATATTTCAGTGACTAGTCTCTCTCTCTCTCTCTCTTTTTAAAGATTATTCCTTTTTAATGACGTTTTTAATAGAGGACTCTCTAATGAGCAGTTTGGGATCTATAAGCAGATCTTGACATGTTCCTTCCCTAGAATATTCCTTACCCTCCCTCCCATGAATAACCAGGATTCCCCAGAGAGAAGCTACCAGTGGGGCCACCCTCTACAGTTCCATTTAGATACTCTGTTATCAGTATACCCCTTTCCCACCTCTGTAATTTTAGGATTTCTGAAATTCCTTACTAGTACCTAATGAAATTCCAATTTAAGGAGGACCATAACCCGTGTCAGGCATTAAGTTAAACACTTTAATATGCTATCTTTTTTAATCCTAATGCAAAGCTATGGGATTTACAGAGATGAATAAAATGCGGTCTCTTTCTTCAAAGACCTTACATTTCAGAATAAAAACCAAGATATATACCTACAGTAGTAAATAAAACAGAGAAGGCCCTGGAGAAGTTTATAGTATAGTACTGTATCAGATGGAATGTCAAGTAATGTTTCTTTTCTTTCCTTTCCTTTTTTTAAAAAATTTTTTTAAAAGATTTTATTTATTTATTTGACAGACAGACAGAGAGGCACAAGCAGGGGGAACGTCAGAGGCAGAGGGAGAGGGAGAAGCAGGCTCCCTGCTGAGCAGGGAGCCCAACTCGGGGATTCGATCCCAGGACCCTGAGATCATGACCTGAGCCGAAGGCAGACGCTTAACTGACTGAGCCACCCAGACGGCCCTCCATTTTTTTTTTTTTTAAAGATTTTATATACTTATTTAAGAGATAGAGAGGAGAGCAAGAGACCACAAGCAGGGGGTGGGGGGAGGGGCAGAGGGAGAGGGAGAAGCAGACTCTCAGCTGAGCAGGGAGCCTGACATGGGGCTTCATCCCAGGACCCCTGGATCCCAGGACCTGAGCCGAAGGCAGAGCTTAACCAACTGAGCCACCCAGGTGCCCGAAATGTTTCTTTTCTTATACTTTTCTATAGTTTGTACATTTTCTATTCACAAAAGCATTATTTTAAAATCATAATAACCCAAACAATTACTAAAATATTTAAATTTCATAACCATCCTATGATAGATATTAACTCCTTTTTATAGCTGAGAAGATTGTTGCACACCAATAAATGGCTTTCCCAAAGGCACACAGTAATGTAGAGCTGCTAATCTGTTGGAATCTGTTACAAATGACTTTATGTGAATCACACCCCTTGGTTTCCGTGCTCCTGTGTTGTCCCCTCCACATCAACTCTGGGCTTAGCCATGTGACTGACTTTGGCCAAAAGCACCTTCGAAAATGTGACATAAGCAAAGCCTGAAAAACGCTGTATTAAGACTTGTCCAAAGCAGTCACATGAGTGACCCCAGGCAGAAGAACCATCTGGTCAATCCACAGAATGATAAGAAATAAAATGACTGTTGCGGGTTACTAAATACAGGGTAGCTTGCTATGTAGCAATTGATACCTGATACAGAAACTGGTATATCTGGGTGTGACGTGCTGCTCAACAAAAGCCTAAAATATGTCTGTGGCTTTGCGTCTGAATGATGGGGGCTAAGTGGGAAAGCTGAAGAAATGGCACATTCCTAGTGGCAGCTGGAAAGGCAGTGAAGCAATTGTTACTGGAGACTGAGAAGGGACATACTGTGTTAGAAGGCAGTGAAACAATTGGCAAAACTGTTGCCTATGGTAACTTGAAAGACAGAAAATATATATAATGAAATTATGTATCTGGATAAGGGGACTGATTCTCAGGCAGAATGATGAAATGCCATCTGGATTATTGTAGCTGCGTATGACAAGGGACAAGAGAAATGAGCTACAGAGAGAACTGTTAGTTTTGAAGCACAATTTAAAGGAACTATAAAGGAGAAAAGACTTGCTAGGTTGAAAATAAAACCTCCACATCTCCAGGCTTTCCAGAAAAAAGCCTGTCAAAGAAAGAAATGGGGGCGCCTGGGTGGCTCAGTCGTTAAGCGTCTGCCTTCGGCTCGGGTCATGGTCCCAGGGTCCTGGGATCGAGCCCCGTGTCGGGCTCCCTGCTCCGCGGGAAGCCCGCTTCTCCCTCTCCCACTCCCCCTGCTTGTGCTCCCTCTCTCGCTGTGTCTCTCTCTGTCAAATAAATAAATAAAATCTTAAAAAAAAAAAAGAACAGAATCTAGGGGGGCGCCTGGGTGGCTCAGTCATTAAGCGTCCGCCTTCGGCTCGGGTCATGGTCCCAGGGTCCTGGGATCGAGCCCCGTGTCGGGCTCCCTGCTCCGCGGGAAGCCCGCTTCTCCCTCTCCCACTCCCCCTGCTTGTGCTCCCTCTCTCGCTGTGTCTCTCTCTGTCAAATAAATAAATAAAATCTTAAAAAAAAAAAAGAACAGAATCTAGGGGGGCGCCTGGGTGGCTCAGTCATTAAGCGTCCGCCTTCGGCTCGGGTCATGGTCCCAGAGTCCTGGGATCGAGCCCCGTGTCGGGCTCCCTGCTCAGCGGGAAGCCTGCTTCTCCCTCTCCCACTCCCCCTGCTTGTGTTCCTGCTCTCGCTCTCTCTCTTTTTAAAGATTTTAAAATCTTAAAAAAAAAAAAAAAGAAAAGAAAGAAATGGTATTAGGAAAAAGATTATATCAAAACTGTGGCTGTAAGAACTTTTCTAAAGCCCTAAAAAATTTAAGGTGATGCTCAACAGACCCTTTGGCTAGATAAAAGGTCTTCTAAGAACTCTAAGGGTATTGTCCCACAGCAGCCTTACACTCAAAGTAGAGGTGTCCATCCCAAAAAAGAACTATGGACGTGGCTTTTAGGGCATGGAATGAACAGTTATGACATTCACAGAAATCCCAAAAAGCTTTTAAGGAAGTTGTATGAGCTTCAACTAAAAGTGACAAGAGACAGTTCAAAGGAAAAAAAGGAGCTTCTAAACCAACTTTCCATGGATAAGAAATCAGGCTGAGACAGCTACTCAGCTATAAGTATGAATCATTTCTTCCTCTTCTTCTTTTTTTTTTTATTAAAGTATAGTTGACACACAGCGTTATGTTAATTTCAGGTGTATGACATAGTGATTCGGTAAGTCTGTGTTATGCTATGCTCACCACAAGTGTAGCTATCTCTGAATCATTTCTTACTGAAAATGTTCAGGGAAAATAGTTCCAAGGGCAAAGGATTCTGGAAGACAGTGAAATAGGGAACCTCTCCCAGGAAAAAGACTGGGCCCTACTCAAGAAATATTCTTTGCTTCTAGAGTAAGAGGTTCTGATACTGTGTGCCCAGCTGGATTTCAGGATTACTATGGACCATTGATTATTATGTGCTTCCAAATCCTCCCTCTTTTTAATGGAAGTGACTATTGTGGTTATCTTGTTCCCAACTCACCATTCTATGCTAGGTGTGTAGTGGTGATAGGGGTAAATAACTCATCCTTTTAGTTCCCTGCACCTCTGGAGCCACATCCACAACTGGACCTAACAAAAATTATGAGCTCATGGACCTTGAGCTTGACGCCATGAAATATATGAGACTTTGGGGTCTTGGGAGATGGTAAGTATATTTTGCAAAAGGAAGGAATGTGAATCATGGGGACCCGAGAGTAGACTGTGGCAGATGGTTATACCAACGCATACCTCCTGACATCTATGTCACGTCTCCTCCCTGATTAACTCTGAGTTGATTATATGACTTGCTTGGCCAGTGGGATATCAGCAAATGTGGGACAAACAAGCTTGGTAAGTGTTTTTGCATTGGGGCTTACCCTCTTGGAATGCTGCCCTGAGACTACATGTGAAGAAACCTAATCTAGCCTCCTTGAGATGAAAGACAACATGGAGAGGAGAATACCCAGCTTTCCTAAACATGCTCACCCTCCAGTTGGCCTACCAGGTAAATGCAGCCACATAAATAAACCCAGGAGAAACTAGCAGAGGATCAGTCCAGCCAACCCACAGAACTATGAAAAATAAAATGTTTACTGTTTTAAGCCACCAAGTTTTGGGGCAGTTTTGTTATACAACAGATAACTGATAGAGACTTCAAAATCCAACCTATTTCCACTATACTAGGCTGCTTCCTAGATCGCCAGTTGAAGTATTTTAAAATTTTCTCTGAAGAAGGTAAATTTGTGCTGGGCCTTGAATGACAGGTATGATTTCTACAGCTGGAGAGAAGGGGCACACACAATAGTAGAACAGTAGGGATTAGGAACCCCAGAATAAGGAAGAATAGGACTCAAGCCTGGGTGAAGCAAGAGGAGAAAACGTGACCAGAGGGTGAGGAGGTCAGTTTGGTCAGAGTATAGGGTCTATGTGGATAAGTTAGAAGTAGGAATCTGGAGCTAGATTATAGCAGGTTAAAGGGTCTGTATTTTGTTACACAGGCAGTGTTTTTGAGAAGGAGGGATGATATATATATATATATATATATATATATATATTTTAAAGATTTTATTTATTTGACAGAGAGAGACATAGCGAGAGAGGGAACACAAGCAGGGGGAGTGGGAGAGGGAGAAGCAGGCTTCCCGCGGAGCAGGGAGCCGGATGCGGGGCTCGATCCCAGGACCCTGGGATCACGACCTGAGCCGAAGGCAGATGCTTAATGACTGAGCCACCCAGGCACCCCAAAATGATTTAGGAAAAATATTCTGAAGGTGATATGTAGAAAAATCTGAAAAAGTAGATAGTGAATAGAGAGATCAGTGAGGGAAGAAGCTATTACAAAGGCCCAAGGGAAATATAACAAAAGGGCTTGACTTAAAGGTCAAATTTAAGCATTTGACCCAGGACAACCTTAGACATGGAGACAAATAAATATAAAATAATCAAATAATAAATATGAGACTTTTTAATCCTAAAGACTACTGAGATGTTAACAGAAAACATTTAAAAACAAACAAAAGGAG